TCGATTTTTTGTGCAATCACCGGTTGCTGAGATATCGATGGTTAAAGACATAAAGATCCTTTTCCATTTAAAGTTCGATATCTCAGCGATAGGTAGGAGTATTGAACTTTTCAAAAATGCAAATTAAAGTTGAATAAACAAGTTATCCGATCCATATAGTGGCTGAGTTAGAAAAATTTTTTCCAAGTTCGTAGACTAAAAAAAAAACTGAAAAAATTTAATAAAAAAATTTTTTTGGTATTCATGAGGATTGAGTAGAACATGTTGCTTGAAAATTTTTTGATTATAAGATCTCAAAACTAGAAACTTCAAACTTTAAAACGCTTTTTTTTTAAATTCCAGTATGACCATTTTCAAGAGAAATACAGCCAGTTAAAAAGCGTAAAAAAATTTGGAATTTTTTTTTGATGCTTTAATTTTTTCCACTAGTGTATTATTCTCCATGAATGTAGCCAATTTTGGAAATGATTATCAAGATAAGTTTGTAATATATGTGATGCTATTTTTAATTCTTGATGTGTTCTTAGTGCTGCTATATCGTTAGCATATGTTACTGTCGAATTATTTGGAGACTCTGATAGGTATGTGTATAGCAGGTATAGTGTTGGGCCTAAAACACTACCCTCTGATTCCTGTTCTTATTATTGGCTGTTTGATTTTTACTTGAAAGATTCTATCTTGTGGATAAAATTCTAGCAAATCGCTATAACATTTAGGAAAAAATCCCTTTAGTTTGTGTAGAAGCCTCTTATGCCAGACTTTATCAAACGCCTGAACAACGTTAAGGAATATGCCTGTGCAGTATTGTTTATTTTCGATAGATTTTCTCGCTACTGATACTATTCTATTCACTTGTTCAATCGTGGAATGTTGACTCCTGAAACCGAACTAGTGGTCCGGGATAAGTTTTCTGTCTATTATAATTGAGTTTATTCTAGCTAGTATGATTTTTTCGTAAATTTTTGAAAGTATTAGCAGTAGACTAATCGGTCTGTATGAAATCACAAACTTAGTTTCTTTATCGGGTTTACATATTAAAATAATCTTTGCTACGTACTTTCCATTAAGAAGGAAAGTAGCAAAGTCGAAAGCATACATTAAATAATATTGTTATGTATCTAAATGTTATTGTAGGAAGCTTTTTAATTATTTTTTCTGTAATATTATCATAACCAGGAGCTTTTCTGTAATATACGAGTATTATTATTTATTTGAAGTACTTCCTTCAAGTTAACTGGTTTGGTTGAAGTGCTGTCCTGAGGCATTTTAATCTTCTAGTAAGACTTTTTCTTGTTCAGAAATTATTCTTTCTTGTAGTTTCAATACTTCGTTTATATATTTTGCGAAAGTTGCCGTTTTTTCTTCGTCTGATTTAGTCCATGTTCCACAGTTTTTTTGAATGGATGGTATGAATGGTTCATCTATTTAGCCGTTTATTCACTTTCCACAGTGAGTATTCCGTTGCTTCGGTTGGACTAAGTACTCTGAAGTTCTTTAGTATTTCTGCATTTTTCTCTACGTACAATACTTTATTCAGCTCTTTAACTGCTCTATTTATTTACGTTTTATCCTGGCTCGATCTAGTAATCTGATACCTTTTTCTTATTAGTAATTTTTCTTTGATTTTTTGTTCGACTGTAGATGAGATGATTTGTTGAGATTTTCTCTTTGTTAATGGCTTCATTTAGGAATGAGTTGAGTGTTTGAATATTGTTTTCTATATTAGTAGCAGATTCGAAAACATTATATTTAGTACGTTCCTCTATGAATCGTGCATATTTTTTCCAGTCTGTTATTGTGAAGTTGTTTACAGTTTTGTGTACTGTTAAGTGCAAAATGACTAATATCAGGAAATGATGCAGGAAATGATCAGGAAATGTCTAAGCATGAGAAAGCTTCGATGTGTCTTTTATTTATACCTTTAACTATTGCGATGTCAATCAAGTCTGGTTTCTTGTTTCTGCCTGTTGGCTAATATGTTGGTTCACCAGTAGATATTGGTATGCAATTATTTTTAAGGAGAGCTGCTGAAGATTGAATCATGTAATTATTGTCCTAGAAAGCCGATACTTTTTGTCTAGAAACGAATACACACCGGCTGTAGTTTTAGTGGTTGCACTTAAAAAAATATATACGAGGTGTGTTCAAAAAGTAAGATGACTTTGTATTTTTAAGAAAAAATATTTATTTATTTATCAATATTTATGTTGTCCCCTTCAAAGTAATTCCCCTCAGATACAATACACTTATGCCAACGGTATTTTCAATCCTCAAAGCACTTCTCATAAGCACTTTTCGGTATAGCCTTGAGCTCTTCCACCGATGCAGTCTTTATCTCTTCAATCGTTGCAAATCTCCGTCCTTTCATAGGTCTCTTTAGTTTTGGGAACAAGAAAAAGTCACATGGGGCCAAATCCGGTGTATATGGTGGCTGAGGCATGATTTTGGTGTTGTTTTTAGCCAAAAAATCTCTCACAAGCAAAGATAGGTGAGCAGGGGCATTATCGTGATGCAAAAGCCATGAATTGTTTTTCCACAATTCTGGGCGTTTTCTTCGTATTGCTTCTCGCAAACGGCGCATAACTTCAAGATAATACTGTTTATTGACCGTACGTCCATATGGTAAGAACTCCTGATGCACCACGCCATAGTAATCGAAGAAAACAGTGAGCAAAACTTTGACATTTGATCGAACTTGGCGTGCTTTTTTCGGTCTTGGCTCATCTGGGCTCTTTCATTGGGACGATTGGACTTTGGTTTCGATATCATAACCATATACCCACGATTTGTCATCAGTTATGACTATTTTGAGTAAATCTGGATCGTCGTTGACGTCATTCAACAGTTCTTGAGCGATGCTCATGCGACGGTTCTTTTGGTCAAAATTTAGCAATTTCGGAACAAACTTCGCTGACACACGTCTCATGCCCAAAACGTTAGAAAAAATTTCATGGCACGAGCCAAGCGATATACCAACATCCTCAGCAACTTCTCTGATAGTGATTCGACAATTTTCCAATTTTCTTCACTGCTTGAACGTTTTCATCAGTTGTTGACGTGCTTGAGCGTCCAGAGCGAGGCTCGTCATTGGCATCTTCCCGGCCATCTTGGAAGAGTTTGTACCACTTGTAAAAATTTTTTTTACTCAGAACAGTTTCACCGTATGCCACCGTCAACATTTCAAGTGTTTCGGAGCACTTTATTTTATTTTTTACACAAAATTTGATGCAAATCCTTTGATCCATATTTTTCGATAGCAAGAAATCGCCGAGCACGCAAAACACTTATAATCTTTACGCCTCTCACAACCAAACAAAAAATGCTATACACTTGAAACTTGGTACAGATGTTCGAGACCAGTGTACCAACATAAGAAAACAAAAAAATCGATAATCGAAAGTACGTTGCCCGTGAAATTTGAAAAGTCACCTTACTTTTTGAACACACCTCGTACTCTGCAATATCTAGTTCGTGTTTGCAGTATTTATAGTCAAGGCTGCTTGCTTTTCTTTTGTCATATAAGTATTTTCTGTAGTACCAGTGGCTGGTAATAAACGAAAAATTATACTTTCCTAAATTTTCTTTCTGTTCACGGTCTCAGGTCGTCGATGAGACGTTTCTTCCATATCCGGTCTCGTTCATCTTCCATCAATTGTTCCATTCTGTCATTATTTCCTTCTTTCTTCATCTGCAGCGTCTGTTTTTGTTACGTCTTAGTGTCGTTTGTATAAGCTCTTTTATTCTTTAGCGAGAAGATTATTCGGGATAATGTCCGCTATCACGAGAACAGTCTTAGCCGAGACTCCTCTATATGCGCAGGCAATCCTCAATATTCCCTGTTTCTATACATTCGATAGTTGTTTTCTGCATTTCTTAACCTTCAACGCATCGAATCACACCTCCACCTCATAAAGTATGATCGAGTAGGTCGTAGACATTAATTGTAGTCTCTTTCATTGTCTTGGTTCAAATATGTTCGTCATCAAGCGATTGAGAGTGTAAGTAATCTCTGCCGCTTTCTTAGCTGTCTCTTATATGTGTGCCATAAGGTCAGTTCCGTATCTAGGATCGACCTCCAGATACTTGATCATCCTCCTAGTCTGCTTCTACGTATATCTGTTCGATTGAGATTAGAATGAGAATATTAATCCTGCTTCTTGTCAGAAGGATAAGTTCCGTTTTATCCAGGGTCAGGCGATGTCTAGTCATCTATCTGTTGACTTGTAACATCGTGTTGTTCAGTGCCAGTTTTGGGGTTCATGCTATCATCACCACTGCCACATCGTCAGCGTAGGCAACCACCTTGAATCCCGATAATATCTTCAGTTTCAGAAGTATTTCGTACAGTAAGTTCCCGAAATCTGAACTCACGATAGATTCCTGGACAACACCTATAGTGATTTGTTTGATTACTGTCCTGTCTGTCATCTTGTCCAATGTTCTACGGAAATATCCATTCAATAAATAATCACGGTAGCAAGTTGTGTGCGCGAAGACGTACAGTAGCGACAGGGTTAATATTTAATACAGTAAGATGATAATTTCCGTCTCTTATGTTTTCATTGCAATAGATATTACGAGGTTAGCTCAAAAATTGCCTCATCTCTTTAGTTAATGACTGTCTAACAGGTACATGTTCAATTGAAAAATTATACTTAGAGATAACATAATTATTAATAATTCATCACATCATTATCAAACCATTACGTTTTACCGAAAATATATAGAGAATATACGTAGAAATTCAATTGATCTTTCTTATTACTAACAATCCTAGTATGGAATTGAGATGCCTTGATAAATGTCCTAAAAACTCAGTACATGACAATCGCGACTAAGTTAATGACTTGTTTTAAATCTTGAATTTGCCAATATACATTTTTGATTTGCAGTAAAATTTACTGACTCATATATTCAGAGAAAGTTAAAAAATTATTTACATTGCTCATTAATGAAAATTGTAGATAAAAATATAATAACATATTGAATGTCCTATTTACCTCCAGTAGATGATTAGGTATTCTGAAATTTTGATCATATGTTTGTGGTATTTGTAATCCAAATTCATAAAAATAATTATTCCATTTGCGCAATTCTACTATGCAAGCATCAGCTTGGATAATTTCTCTGAAAATAAATAAGTATTTACAATTAGTAATTAGAAGTTGAAAGCAAATATATACTTATAAAGTATAGTGAGAGGATTGATTATGTTAATTTTCATGATTTGTATAAGAGAAAGATAGTGACACCTAAGTTAAAAATTTCGACTAACGATCAAAAAATTTGTATATAATTGATTTACAATTTAACTATTGGATAGACTGATGGGAGACTAGGGTGTAATTGATCATAATTTTAATAATAACCAGGTACCAAAATATAGTTAGTTGTGGATGCAAATTCTACCACGAAGATGAAAAGTAAGGGAGAAAGTAATAATCATTTAGAGTAGTCATAGGAGTGTAACGGTCCCATATCGTACATGGGCTTCTAGACTATTTCTCATTTTCACTGCATTACGGCGAACCGCTAAACTTGCAAATCTACACCTATCAATTAGTATATGAAACGGCGCCACTTCACGTATTATATGAAGAGTCAAGTTTCATGACCATATAAGGAGCATAACGTCACTCTACTCATAGATATAGATATACCAATTTTTATTGTTCAATTAAAATGCACCATTAAGAGTAATTTCAATAAATCAAAGTATTTTTTATATATAGATTTTAGGGCAAAGTTTTAGATTATTATATTTTCAAGTACTTCTAACTATTGTATATTATTGAATTTTAATGTATAAAATTGATAGAATTGATAATTTTTAAGTAACCAATTGTATGTTTACATCATAAGATTTGACCAAAAACATAAATTAATTATTATTCAAATATTATTAAACAATTTAAGTATTTCTTATTTGTAATGATGTCTATAAGCGATAAGTTATTTTTTTACGTAAAAAATTTTAATTATTTTATTGTAAAATTTGCGCTATTTAATAAACTAACTTTATTAGGTACTAACTTTTTATTACAATTTTTGCGATAAGTGCAAATTATGCTTAAATTATCTATATTACATTCTGTATTTTTTACACTGTTTAATTTTCTTTAGCGCTGTCCATTTATTTTAAGCAAGAGAAAATAATTTTGCACATTTACAGAAACAGCGTGAAAAGGGCTATCCTGCAAAAATGGGGCTCAGAAATTTGTGTATAAATAGACTCAATTTTGCACAAGTGAGAGATATTCTCTCCTAGCCTTGCAAAGTGAGCGCTTGAGGTTGAATAAACTTAACTTATATCTAAGTTGTTTCTCTCTTGTGATTAGCTAAGCAAGCATTCCCTCTTCTATTGTAATCTATGCTTGACTTATAGAACTTTTCACGCTATGAGAACCTTGAGCTAAATCACATCCTCTTTCCAAGAGAGACTTATACTCTGCTTATGGGACGCTTCGCACCATAAGAAACTAGGGACAAGCCTATCTTTCCTTAATTCCATTCCAAACAATCATATATATTTCATTATATAAGTTTGATTATCGAATTCAATATTAATATCATTACTTCAATTTTTAACGAATTCTTACCCAATAACGCGACAGACCACGAAAGTATCAACTAAATACAAATAATAGGTGATAAGTAATAAAAAGGCGTAAGGATACCTGGATCCCGAGTGAATGTACGAAGAACGAAAGAGATAGGGAGAGTGAGAGTGAGTGAAAGAGAAAAAGAGGTAAAGAGGGAGAGAACGTATGAACGAATGAAATGGACGGAAAGGACACGAACAACTATGTTACACACACGATTGAACAGGACTTGCAACGGATAGGTAATATGAAAGTGGTTCCACGTTCCAGGTCGGACAGAAGTGGATTCCGTTTGATCATCATGCATCTTTTTGCATCATCTTCGAGTCGCTCGAATGGTTTTTATCCCATTCTAATTAAAACAAAAAAATAATAGTTGTAATAAATTATAATAATAAATTACAAATCATAATTAATAATAATAATACATTTTTACATTTACATATAAATTCCGATTAATATTTCGACGTTTGTTACTTACTTTTTCTTTAATCATCATACCGATACGCGTCCATACTAAATATACCCTCTTTTCAAGAGCTTACAAATGGTATCTATCACAAGTACAATCAAATAGTTTTTCTAATTTTTTCAAACAATTATTCATCGATGAAAATTCCGAAATTTTAAGTACATGTTTTATTTCTTGCCAATTTTATGGAAAAAATCATAGGAAAATTTTGAGCACAGGATTTTCTTACTCTTTCCAAAACATATCTAAATCACTGATTTAAAAATTATTTACATCAAATATAACCTGCGTTTGAGCATTTTTCTCGAAAATTTAAGTTTAAATTATAGAAAAAAGTGCACATGAAAGAAAATGTTCTTTTTTCTATGTAGAATACAGTGGAATTTCCTCAGATTTTTTTTCGAAAAAAACATTTTTCATCTTTTTCTCCCAAATAGTGATGCAAAAAAAAAAAACTTTAAAATTGTCTGCAACATGAGGTCTTCTTCTTTATTTTTAAAATAAGAATGACATGTAGATAAAATTTAAGGTTTATGAAGTGCAATAAACTCTTTACGTTTTCGCACTAATAAATTTTTTGATTTAGCCATTGTCATCATACATCACAGAAATAGTTGTTGACATTGGAATCGTTCACGATCGACTAGTTCATTTATAATCAATGATGAATACACGTAATCAAGGTAATATACAGTTTTTACTCTCCCATTTGTTAATATCCACTAAATTTTTTTATTATTTCCATAAAATCACTTATTATCCGATATTGATAATGTGAACCAAGTTTGAGCGTACGGAGATACACTGAACTACCACCTAAATGGATTTATACAGGGAAATCAACGAAATTAACCAGTTTTTGCTCCCATTTGTTATGAGGCCCAATATACTTTTAATTTTTACATATAATGGTTGACTGTCCTGCAAATAAGAAATGGACAAAGTTTAAACCTGAGAAATCACCTGAAACTGCTCTATATCCATTGTGACGGTAAACGTCAAATTAGCGCTAATAATCTAACCTAATTGCTGCCTGCGGGGGCAGCACCTACCGGGGAGACGAAAAACGTAACGAAGGAATTCGGCACGCGAGCAGACGGAACGCGCGCGATTGAAATTGAACCAGTGAAGGTTTGACCATCATTACGCTCGCCCGCAATCTTAATACTATCTACCGCTACAAGAACCGCAGGGGCGAATTCCAAGAGCAGAACGTCCGTACCAGGCTGATTCCGAGTGACCGCTGTTGCCGAGGTGCCGTGCAGCTGCCACGAGTATACACTGGAGCCGGCGGAAAAGCGCTGTGTCCTGTGACTTTGGAAGTGTGTGAGAGATTTCGCCATCAAGGGCGAAACCACGTGCGCGCGAGTTCGTGATCTGCGACAAAACTGTAACTGACCGTTTTTTCGCAGTGCGACTCGTTATCGTCCACTTCGTACGTCTGCAATATAAAGGTAAACTGGCCAGCTTAATTTCGCGGTCGCGATACGATTGCTGCTCGGTTAATTACACAGGCCGACAGAATTTGACAAAAATATTTTACCAAGAACCCGAGTATAGTTTTCCGAAGGTTTTTTGCGCGCTGAATCCGAATCCGAGGTCAGAATTACTCTGGTGGCTCCGGTTTTCGAGATATCCTAACCTTAAGGTGCAAAAAACGCGATTTTTGCCTATATTTGAGGTTATGTAGCAAAGAAAAGAAATTTTTTGTCAAAAAACTGTATACATCAAATTAAAGTATGAGTTTTCTTCTTTCAAATGCCGTTGAGTATGCTCGGATATCTTTTCTTTTCTTTGCTACATAACCTCAAATATAGGCAAAAATCGCGTTTTTTGCACTTTAAGGTTAGGATATCTCGAAAACCGGAGCCACCAGAGTAATTCTGACCTCGGATTCGGATTCAGCGCGCAAAAAACCTTCGGAAAACTATACTCGGGTTCTTGGTAAAATTTTTTGTCGGCCTGTGTTATTCGTCCGAAGCGTGCATGTAGTAGCTCTACGAACAAAGAGCAGCGAGCGTCCCGACACTGCATGTTGTTGTTGAGCGAGCGCCGATATAAACATAAACACGCGGGCCGATCTAATGTAGCGTTTTAAGAGATAATAAAGAGTTTTCGTACACGATATTAACAAGTACTTTCAGAGCGTTCTCTTCACTCCCGTAGATAGTTGGTTGACTGACATCCGTTCCCTCTTGCTCTCCGACTTTCTTATTTGATATAGGTGATTGCGAGCGCGTTTACGCGATCATCGTAATAAAAATAATTAAACGGTAAGCCACCCCGTTACACCATATAAAAAGATAAATATTTTTATATACATAATACTTACATGGTGAAATATATATATATATGGTGATACATATATATATATACATACATATGACTATTAATTTACATATGGTGAACTTTTTAATGCAATGTTTATAAGTAAATATATTGTTAATAATTCATAGTTATGTTTCTATTATAAAAAAACAAATTCCTCTCTGCATTTATATGGACTTGAGACCGTCATATCAATAATATTATAACCTGCATTGTTTTTATTAACTTTTACATCGATCATTCAGTATGATAAAATATATTTTAATTAATTTTAGAATAAAATGCGGATTGTTTTACAATATAAATCTATAAATATTCAATCAATTTTTTATTTTCATTTCAGTATTCATTAAATATTAAAAGCAATAATTTGAATTAATTTAGTTTTTAGATTTATATCAATCTTAGTCTATCGACTTACTGTTTTTACAACATTTTTTTCTGAGATAGAAATCTAATATTGTAGCTATAACTGAATAGACCTTGAAATTTGATTATTATATAATTTCTTTGGAAGTTTTATTTGATTTTAAAATATTTACAACAAAGTTAACAAATAAATAATTCGTTTTCTTCTGGTTCATTGAATTGATTCCGATTTTATATTAGAAAAGCAACACACATTTATTCTCCATATCGCCTAATAGTAACAGAAAATTATATGCTACTTTTAACCTGTACTTGTCAGGATCAAATGTGAGGTTAAAATATTTTACATAACTTAA